TTTGTTCTTTTGGGTAAATACCCAGTAGTGGGATTGCTGGATCAAATGCTAGTTCTACTTTTAGTTCATTGAGTTATCTCCATTGTATTAAAGTATTAATAGAGGTTGTACTAGTTTGCAGTCCCACCAACAGTATATAAGTGTTCCTATCTCTTCACATTCATGCATTTGTTGTTTGGGACTTTTTGATAAAAGCATTCTCACTGGAGTTAAGTGATATCTCATTGTGGTTTTGATTTGCGTTTCCCTGATAATTAGAGATGTTGAGCATTTTTTCACGTTTATTGGCCATTAGTCTATCTTCCTTTTGAAAAGCTTCTGTTCATGTCTTTTGCCCACTTTTTAATGGGGTTAATTTTTTTCTTGCTGATTTGCTTGAGTTCTTTGTAGATTCTGGTTATCAGCCCTTTATCGGATGTGTAGCATGCAAATATTTTCTCCCATTCTGTAGGTTGTCTCTTCACTATAATGATTGTTTTCTTTGCTGTGCAGAAGCTTTTTAATTTGATCAGATCCCATTTATTTCTGTTGTTGCTTTGATTGCTTTTGGGGTCTTCTTCATAAGTTCTTTGCCTAGGCAATGTCTGTAAGAGTTTTTCCAGCATTTTCTTCTAGAATTCTTATAGTTTCATGCCTTAGGTTTAAGTCCGTTACCCATTGTGAGTTAATTTTTGTGAGTGGCGAGAGGTGCAGATCCTGTTTCAGTCTTTTGTGTGTGGCTATCTGATTTTCCCAGTAACATTTATTGAATAGGGATTCTTTTTTGTAGTAATATTTTAAATGTTGCCTTTGATACATGAAAAACATGCACATCATATCCTTGGACAAAACACGCAAAGGTATTCACACAGACACACACACTCTCCAAAGAGAATATCTCATTAGCATGATTGATTATTGGCCACTAGCTCATTCTGTATGCTTGTAACTCTCCCTGGAGAAATGGAGATCTGGGGGCACGGCTAGATTTTATTTTTAGGAAACCTGCCCTCTGAGGGGATGAGATTGAAAGCCTCAAGCAATTTTCTCTTCCATGAGAGAAATCATAGAAGTAGTATGGCCAGCTGGCTGCTAGCTGCTTCCTTTGCCACCACCAATGAAGGCTTGAAGAAGTTGTCTGACGTTGCCTTGTGTTAAGTCCTCACAGCAGCAGCACCCACACAGTCAGCCCCAACTCACATCTGGAAACATCATTTTGAAAGCTTTTGAGAATCTCAGAGATCACTACAGTGTAGCTAGCTAAGAGTATAAGCCCTGGAATCACATTGGCAAGATTCAAACCCCAGCTCTAACCCTAACTGCTGTGTGACCTTGGGTCTAAGCCTCAGTTTACTCATTTGTAAAATGAAGGTTGTAATAACACCTTCCGCACAGCAATGTCAGGAAATTTAAATGAGATCTTGCACATACAGTGCTTGGCACAGGGCCTGAAACACAATGGCTGTTCCAAGTATATCCTCCTCTATCATTATCCTGTCCACTTTCTCATTTTAGAGCAAAGTGTGGCCTAGGAAGGCTGAATGACCTGCCTAATGCCAGGCAGCTAGGAAAGAGCAGAGTGAGAGAGTTAACTCAGGTTTATTTACTCTGATTCTATGCCCTTTCTGCCCCCTCATGCTGCCTTCTTCAATATACCAGATATGAAACAAGGGGCTCAAAGACAAAAAGTCAACTTTCCCCAACCTACACAGGCACAATGCAGTCTGTGTAGACAACCTAGAAGAGAAGATCCTGTAGCTATAATAAATGCAGGTCATTCCAAGAGAGTGAGGCTGGTGGAATCATGACATCACAGCTCCAGCTGGGCTTGACCACTTAGCACCTATGAGAAGTCAAGTTCACTCTTTTTATATCTCTGACCCTACTTCCTCTTCTGTGAAGTGGGAATAATATTGCATAATGACAGTCCCTGGAACACTGTAGCATGTACAAATGAGATCTTTGCTGTCTTTGGGGCTCTAGCTCCCTGGTACAGGGATCCTTGTTCACAAAGTAGCTGTCACTTCTCAGGTCCCAGAGAAGACAAAATGTAATCTGGCTTCCAGAAAATTAGGGGATTTTATCACTCTTGGGAAACCAATATGCAATATTGGGACAAGCAATCCCAAGGCCAGCTCAGAGATATACTGGTTAGTCCCAACCCACTATCACAAAACTTGCCCAGTCTCCTCCTAGTTCTGGTCCCTCTACACATCACAACAATGTGCATTATACGATAAGTGATGCAGAAAAGAACACCGACAAAAGATTAAAAAAAATTCTGCTACCTAGAAATAACCACCATTAACATTAAGTAAAAATCACCCTAGGCATACTTTCATGAGAGAAAGTTGGGTAGAATGAACAAACAGGGAAACAGAACTACTACAGCTGCTATTTTAATTACAAAATACTAAAATTGCTTTTACTAAAATTGTTAAAGTAAAAAACTCAAGTGAAAATGAACTTATGCTGAACTTCAAATGTTTCTTCAGTATAAGAAAAATGGCTTCTGAACACATTCCTCAGAGGTTAAGAGCCTATAAAAAATTTAAGAAATGAATAATCTGTTAAAATTTCATGTTTGCATTTTATATAGTATAAATTGATTTCTGGCCATGAAAAGTGAGTTCTGCAATTTCCCCTTCATTTCTTTAATGTATTACTTAGCTTTTGAACTCTTGTGTCATTAATTCATGCCATTATTATTCTGTAATCCAAAGCACTCATGAGGAATTTTCTTCTGTTCCCTGGGCTCCTCTTCTTCTAGACTGGGCTCCTTGTCTTTTGGGCACTATTTCTGTTTCTTGTTTTGCTGTTGCTTGTTACATAGTTGTGCTATTTCTTTTCTCTCTGCTCATGTTTAGGCAGTCTTTTCACATCTTTTATTTGCTGTAATATAATAATAGCAATTAATATACTTAACTATTAATATACAGCACTTACTATGTGCCAGTCACTGTTATAAGTTTTTCTGTATATTAATTCATTTAATCCTCACAAGTATCTTGAGGTATTATCACTATCCCCATTTTATAGATGAGAAACTTCAGGCACAAAGAGGTTAAGTAACTCATTCAAGTAACTTATAAGAAGAAGAGGCAGATTAGAAACTAGGGATTCTGGCTCCAGCATCCGTTTTCTTAACCACTTTACTTCCTACTACACCTAAGATTAATCTGTGCTCCTAACTGAGCTACAGTTTGAGGGCTGTTCTACATACCTTTCCTGGCCTGAAGGTATGGTGAGTGGAGAGGGAGAATTGAGCTTGAAGGTGGGCCAACTTGGAGGTCTACCATACAGTACTAGGATTCATTCCACCAACCTGGAGCTCTATTCCAGTCCCCTGAGTTTGGGATTCATCCTCTGGTTAGGTGTATAGCCCTTGCATCCATCTGCTTCACCCCTTTCTCCTCAGGAACCGTTTCCAATTCTCCACAGTGAAAAGGCAAAAGGAGCTCCCCCCTTGGTTTACTTTTCTCCTGACTGAGAGTATAAGAATTCTTAAGTTTTTGGTGACTCACAGTTATGACTTCTGGAAGATGGAGTTGGAACCTTTCTGTATAATGCACTCCTCTCAATTCCAGTATCTTCTATGTCATTCTTTATTCACCACTTTTTGAAGTTTTTGGTACTGCCATGTGCCCTATTCTTTGATTGCTGAGGTAAAATATTTTGATAATTTGTATAAACCTGATGGGGGAGAATTATTCATTTATTAAACTAGGCATTAGAGCCAGGTGCAGTGGCTCATGCCTATAGTCCCAGCTATTTCAGAGGCTGAGGCAGGAGGATCGATTGAGCCCAGGAGTTCAAGGCTGCAGCGAGCTATGATCACGCCACTGCACTCTAACCTGGGTGACAGAGCAAGACCCTGTCTCTAAAAAATAAACAAATAACAAAACAAAAAACCACTAGGCATTAGAGAAGGGTAACTCTGTGAGACATATTCATTCCACCATCCTGATCCAAATATGCACACCCACAGTTTACCACGTTATTTCTTAAAGATCCCAAGTTACCTAAATTTTATACATCTGATTGGGGACGCTAGGTTCCTATGGAAAAGGAGGCAGGATGAAACATAAAACTTTAAAGAGCATAAAAAATCCAAAATGATGTAGAGAACATTCTGAACCAATTAGTTAGGAAAAATGAAAAAAAATGCTTTAAACACCAAGATGTTCAGAGATATTTAGCCTTGAATGTCAGATCCCTGGTTCAGACACAAACAAAGACAAATTTTTAACTGTTCTATTTTTGGGCATAATTTGCTCTGAGTCTTTTTAATTAGGCCTGCATATGGCTAATATCAGGTTTCTGTAGCTTGCCTTTCTCCATCCCTACACATGATCTACACTACTAGGAAACTCCACTGTAGTGCTCCCAGTGGGGGAATGGGAAGTTATTGTTTAATGGGTATGAAGTTTCAGTTTGGGAAGACTTAAAAAAGTTCTGGAGATGGATAATAATGGTTGCACAGTGTGAACATATTTAATGCCACCAAACTATACATTTAATAAAAATGGTTAAAAGAATTTCATACATAATTTGCCACAATTTAGATAAACCTTAAAAACATTAAGTGAAAAAAGCCAAACATTAAGTGAAAAAAAAACAACAAAAGACCATATATTATGATTCTATTCCCATGAAAATGTTCTAAAATTGACTGTGGTGATTGTTGCACATATCTGTAAACATGAAATATCACTGAAATGTACACTTTAAAGTGGTCAACTGTATGATATGTGAATGTCTCAATAATTAAAACTGTTAAAAAAATTTTAACTGGTTTTCAATCTAGGACCATATTTATTTGGACTCCTGAGCACCAGTGGCATTCTGTAAATTCTAGAACCACATTCTGGTGATGTGGTGGAAAAATGAAGAACAAAATTAATGAAAGGACTGCAGTTTAGAACGGCTGGCAGGGAAGATCAGGAATGCCTGTGACTGGGCCTGGCGGCTCTCCAGTCATGGGGGCAAGAACAAAGCCAAGATTATAAAACACATTAGACTGAAGTTGACCAAAGACCTTTATTCTGGTCCTCCTTATTCCGTAAGCCACTTATGCAGAACACTTTCTTCATTTCTGCTCCAAACAGCAGCAGCTGCATCCAGGCTTGACATGGAAGACAGACATAAGTAGTGGAAGACCTTGTAGAGAAAAGCTAGCAGATGAGATCTCTGCTTATCCCGGCGTAGGTGAAGGTAGAACAGGAAGAGTGTAAGTGCAAAGACTCTGTTCTTCAAAGCTGAGGCCTGTAGAGAGGGACGAGCTGAAGGATGCAGATGAATGCTCACAAAACTGCCCGGCTCAGCAATCAATCCAAAGTACCTAAATATACAAAGAGCAGTGAGTAAAGCAAGGTGCCTCCGGATTAGGGTAACAAACTGGACAAAGTGAAAGCAGAAGGGGCTTTGACATTGGCAGCAGTTCTCTAAGACCAAAATACTAATTTCGAGGAGTATCTATCCAATAGATCCCTGGGAAAAAACATGTCATTACAGAGAGTGAACAGTTAAGAATTAAGCATGCTGGTTTGGAGAGTTAGAATTAAAGGTAGGAGAAGGGCTAAGAAAGTTGTCAATGAACATTTGTGAAGACCATATAAAGGGAGGGTGAATGATATAAAATAGATAAGTTCTCTAAGCAAAGAGCATATACTCTTTTTAGAAAGTTCTGGTTTCAGACAGGGGATTGAGTTCACAAGTTTGTATGCAGCCCTCCACCCAAGATTCCATTCAAAAGGAAAAAGCGTTTAAAAAGGTATAAATCTAGAATAAAGGATAGGGGCTCAGTAGCAGTTAAGGGATTTCAACAAAAAATTGAATAACAGAAATCTGACTGAATTATATTTATAAATAGAGCAGAGGAAAAATTAGCTTAGAATGAACACAGAGGGGGCTGCAGCCAAGAAGGGGGGTTTCCATGTCTAGGAAAACCATAGGGAGGCTCCAGACTCAGTTACCAGGAATGACAGAAAGAGATCCAAAACAAAAAATGGGTTAATGACCCATGGGTCTGTATGAGAAACAGCTGCTCTCATCTCCCCACAACCCTTCCTACATGTAACACTACCAGAAGACAGGCATTTAAACCTAACTTGGAAAAAAAGGTCATAGGGCTCTCTTCTAAAGAACCAAATGGACTATCTGGAGAGAACTAAAGCAGCTTCTGAAAATACCATCTCCTCACACCTAAGCCTTCTGCATTCTGGCCCTGGGGGGCCCTAGCATAACACCTGGTCCGACCTCTGTTTACCCTAAAGTAAAGCTGCCAGGCAACAACCCCCCTCCACCCCCACACACCCCTTCCAAACAGCCTTCTTATTCCTTCATTCTTAAGAGAATGAAAATGACCAGGTATTTGAAGGAGGTCTACATAGTGAAAGGAGAGACTAAAATGAATTGGAGGGGGGAAAACCCAGATAATTCAAGGAAAAGAAAAACAAAACAAAGGAAAAACACCTCTAATTGGAAAAAAAAAAAATTAGTCCCTCTTTTTGATAATGGCAAGTCCCTGCTGAAATCAACTCATAAAGCTAAATACATACATACATATACATATAAAGAAAATCTTCAGGCCTTGAAGCAGGGGGATCATTTGAGGCCAGAAGTTTGAGACCAGCCTGGACAACACAGCAACACCTTGCCTCTACAGAAAATTTTTTAAATTAAAAAAAAAATAGCCAGGCATAGTGGCGCATGCCTGTAGTCCTAGCTATTCAGGAGGCTGAGGTGGGAGGATTGCTTGAGCTCAGGAATTCAAGGTTACAGTGAGCTATGATTGCATCACTGCACTCTAGCCTAGGTGACAGAGTGAGACCCTTTCTCTAATTAAAATAAAATAATAAAATAAATAAAACAAGCAGCTTCCGTAGCTCTTTATAATTTATAAAATCAATTATATTTCTACATACAGAAACATTTAGAAAATAAAATTTTCTTTAGAAAGATACCATTAACAATAGCATCAAAAATATTAAGTACTTAGAGAACACCTAACAAAATATGTCAAGATTTCCTCAGGTAAAATATTTTATCAAAAACATTAAAAATCTAAATAAACGGAAAAGCAGACCATGTTTATGAACTAGAAGATTCACTATTGTGAAGATTACTCCCCTAAAGTAATCTATAGATTCAATGCAACCCAAATTAATATTCCTTTTTGTGGAATTTGACAAGCAGATTCTAAAATGTACATGAAAATACAAAGAATTAAAAATAGCCAAGATACTTAAAGAACATGGTAGGAAGACTTGCTCCCTCAGATTAAACTACCATAATTGAGAGTGTGGTATTGATGTAGGAATACACATATAGATAATGGAAGAGAACGAAATGGTCAGAAACAGTTTTAATTTATCAAAGGTTATACTGCAAAGCAGTGAGATAATGATATGAACAAGTGGATACCTAAATATGAAGAAATAAATGAAACTCAACCCAGTATATAAAAAGTCAGCTCCACTGTTATAAAAGACAAAGCTATACATTTTACCATATAGGAGAATGCCTTCATGATCTTGGAGCAGGGAAAATTTTCTTGAATGGGACACAAATAGCACTAGCTACAAAGGAAAAAACTGATACATTTAAATAGCTTAAGAACTGATATTTATCAAAAGATAACCTACAGAGTGAAAAGGCGAGGCATAAACCAGGAAAAGATATGTTTCCCAAATACTGAAAAAGATTCGTAACCAAAACATACAAAGCATTGTTAAAAATCAACAAGAAAAAGGACAAAATATCCCATAGAAAAATAGGTCACACCCACCCCCAAAAAACGGACATGCATATGAAAAGATGCTTAATGTCACTAGCTATCAGGGCAATGCAGATTAAAACCACTACACAATTATCACTTACATTCATACCACTTTGTTAAAAATCAAAAACTCTCTCTGATAATATCAAGTGTGGGTGAGAATAAGGAGCAATGAGAATTATTACACACTGCCTGTAGGGATGTGAAATGTTATACAGGAAGTTCAGCACTACCTGCAAAAGACGGAGATATGCATACCCCACATATCCTGTGATCTAGCAATTTTATATATTTTATACATACATGCACACCTACCTAGAGAAACATGTACAAGATTGTTCATAGCAAATTGTTTATAATAGCCAAAAATAGGTTACTCAAATCTCAACATTAAAATTGTTCAGTTGTGGTACTACCACATAGCAAAGAAAATGAACAAACTAGAGCTAAGCACAATCACATAGATGAATCTCATAAATGTATTAAAACAGATGTGGGACAGATGATGACCAATGAATAAATATGGCTTGATTCCATTTACAAAAACTTAAAAAAAAACAACTAAACCCTAGTGTTTAAGGATGCCTATTCATGTGGTAAACTATAAAGAAAATCAAGTAATTACCAAAAACATCAGGGTACAGGGAAAGGGGATGAGAACAGATGAAGAAGGAACATATGTGGGACTTCTGGGGGTGACAATATTCTATCACTTGGTCTAGGTGGTGGTTACAAGAGTGTTCATTTTATTATTTATTGACTATACATTTATAGCACATACTTTACATATGTGTTACAGCTCATAAGACTTAGAAAAAATGTATATACACACATACAAACATATTTGCATAAAATATCCAGAAGACTGCACAAGAAACTAGTAACTCTTGTCTGCAGGGAAGGGGCCGGAATAAGGGATTAAGGGACAGAGGGTAGAGGAAGACTATTCACAGCACTGGTTTTCAACTTCTACAATGGACCATGGATAAAATATGGAAGATTTAATTATGCTAAGATACAAATGTTATCAGTCTTGACAATATCAAAGTACTAGTATAAACAACATAAACTGAGAGCTAGAAATGAGCTAAAAGGGAGAAAGGAGCAGATAGGCATACTAATAATCATACCTTTCAAAGTGGGGAGTCAACAAATACATTGAAAGTTGTGTACAACAACAATAAAAGATATTTTGGTATGTTATATAAACTATAAAGCTAAAAAAGAAACTAAAACTAGTGCTACAACTACCAAAAATCAGAAAAGAGGGAGTGAATGTATGGGATACTATAGGTTAACCAAATCTTAATTTTTCACTGCAGGAAGTCAATACATAATGTCTACAGTTGATACATCAAGGGATGAGTACATTAGTTAGAAATATAAGTAACCACCAGAAAAGCTAAAAAAAAGAAGCAATAAAACAGTGGGCAGACAGCAGATTTACTCTATTATAAGCCATTAGGTAACTATCTGATTTTTAAGCATGGATATGTATTGCTTTGCTTAAAAATGGAAAAAAAAAATTTATCTGCTTAGGCCATACACATCTAAGGACATAAGACCACTTATTTTACCAGGTACAAAATAATATAATACAGACTGAATCCATAGGGACTACAATGGTTAAAATTCAGATCTACCAATGCAGGACAGAGCAGAGGGATTCAATTACAGAGATAATTGGAGCAGAGGAGGAAACTGAACACATCAACCATTCAATAAATAGCCATTTATTAAAAATCCAAGCCAAGTAGCATGCCATGGTAGAGGCTAGAATGGAAGACTGCATAACAACTCTCCACAGAGCAGCAGTGTTATGTATTTAAAATACAAATTTGAACGCATCATTTGTCTCTTTGAAAAGCTGGTAATTAAAAATCAACAGGTAAAGTAGGCTCCAAAAATATTTGACTGGAGAACTTACAGGGAGTCCATCACAAGAAGCTACATGACTTAGGTAGACAACTAACAAAACTTATCTTTAAGAAAAATGAGCAGGCAGAAACAGAAACTAAAGGAAGATCTACAAATTAAGAGAATACTCAATAATCTATGTATGAAGCTGGACATCGGAATGTATCTAATAAGACATTTAAGAAATATCTATAAAAGGATCAGGAGCCTAGGTTGATATAGAGATGCAGAAAAAAGGAGTGAAAAAGAGTGGAATAAATAAAAAAAGATTTCTGAAGGTAGTAAGGGTTGAAGGAGGTAATGGGAACACCCAGGTAGGGTAAAGGTGAGAATGAATTGGGGACGTGGCTCACACAAAGCTACCCAATCAAAATATAGTCATGTGTCACTTAGTGACGAGGATACATTCCAAAAAATGTGTCACATCTTTAGATGACTTTGCCATTGTGCGAACATTGTTGTGTACTCAGATGGTATAGCCTACTTCACACCTAGGCTATATAGTGTAGCCTGTTGATCCTAGGCTACAAACCTGCACAGCATGTTACTATACTGAATACTGTAGGCAACTGGAACACAATGGTAAGCATTTGTGTATCTAAATATAGAAAAAGTAATGCATTTCACTATGATGTTAAGATGGCTTCAGCACTGGGCAATGGGAATTTTTCAGCTCCATTATAATCTTAAGGGACCACCATCATCTATTCAGTCAGTAGGTGACCAAAAAGTCATTATGCAGCACATGACTGTATGTGCAATGAACAGTAAGCTGATCAGATTTAGGAATTAAGAGAAGTAGCCCTGAGAGAAGGTAGCTAATACCTCTAAGAGAGGTATTTCAAATATTTACTATGTCAATGACAAAATTTAGTACCCAAGTTAATCCATGACTCCTAAGAACAAATAAATACAGGCAAGTACAGAATCTCACTGCAACAAAATCATCATTTTACACAGACTGTTGAAGAAAAAGGAACAAGAGGTAACCCTTTAAATGCTGACAATTGTTTCTGACCTCTAACATTATGATAATGAGGCAAGATTTTTATTTGGGGATGGAAACCAAAGTAGCAATCAAACTTTTGAATCTATCTAATGTCACTAGGGTCTTTACAGTCCCTCCCATTGCTTTATGGTTAGCAATTTTCCAATAGAAATTCTAATTCCCTAAGGAAGGAAACTCAGCCTCACTAGGCTTAGCAAGTTAGTTTTTCCTATCCTAATAACAAGCAGGGAGAAAGAATTATCCCTACAGAAGAAAGAACCAGACATCCATTTTATAAGGTTTCGAACTCACATCATTAACATGAAAAATACAGGTGGAAATGATTGCCCACTCATAGAGAACTCACCTTCCAGAAAAGCAAATTCATCCACTGCTTCTATTGCATTATCTGAAACACAAGGTAAAGGGATACCTGACTAACTCCAGTCACACGGACATCAGTCCACAAACAGTACGATCCACACAGTGAAGGGCATGAGGCTTTACGCAAATGAGGGATTTATAAAATGCGACCCTTGCTGTCTTGAGCTCCATTTTGACTCTACCACCAACTCTCACTGGTCTCTCTACAAGAGCAAGAAAAGCCTAGGCAAATACTATTCAACAGGGGAGGAGAGAGGACGGAACCCTCTGACAACCCTGGCTTACTCCTAAATTTATTTATTCTCTTTGCTCTAAAAGTCATCAGAGAACAGTATAGCAATATAACAGGGAGTGTGAAAATACAGTGTGTGAAAGCTGGTGAGGGTTACCAGCCAGACAATAGTCAGAAATCAAACCCCCATTTGCTAGGTAAAAAGAAATGTCTTTTTCTGGTACAATATGGCAGAAAGGTATGAAGGCTCAGCTTTGGCAACCCCCAGACACCTTTCAGTCTCTGCCCCACCACCCACCCCTCCAGCTCCCCGAAGCATAGAGACTATAGAGGTAGGGCTTTCTGACATTGTGGCAAGCCAACGGAAAACATCATAGGGGGAGACCCGGTGGCACCTCTCAGACCAGAGGGAAAAGGGAAGCCTAGCCCAGCCCTCTCTTGGCTGCCCCCAGACACCACAGTGCCACCCTACCCAAATCTCTCCTCTGGAGCGTTTTCCTCTTTCCTTGTTGAGCACAGCAGTAGGCATCTTTTGCAATGGTCTCCACAAACAGTTCCTGTGAAGCAAACAAGCAGAGTTCTTGCAATATGTTATAGCACACTGAGGACGTGAGCACTCCGGTTTGTGAGTCAGGGGAGGGAGGGTGAAGGGAGGCTCAGGCGCATGGGGATGTTCTCGAAGCTAAGGTGGTCCTGGGCTTCAAGAAGATCGATTCCGCTACCCTCTCCTCCAGTACACCAGAATGACACGTCCCTCTTCCCTTACTTTTAAATCAACACCACTCACTCACTAGACACTCCTACAAGTTCTGTTAGACACTGGAAACGAAAATTAACGTCGCTGCCCGGGCCCTTAACAGGAGGCAGGTGCGTTAATAAACCAATACAACTCCTGCAGGTACCAGATACTCCTCCCACAGCCGGGTCTACACTCGCGTCTCAGAATCCCACCCAGGCCGCCGCCAAGCTCCGCCCCTCGGAAGGCCCGAGGCCCCGCCCCTCGCCACGCTTCCCCGCCCGCCCTCGCGCCCTGGCGCTCCCGTCACACCGCCGCTCGCGCCAGAATGAAGATGGCTTCCTGTCCCGCTAGCGTCACGTCGGGGTCCGCCTTCACCAAGGCCTTCACTCGCGCCAGAGGCAGCCTCGAGAGACGAGCCCCGGGTGCACTCGTCGGGGCTTGGGGCTGCGGGGCCGCTGCCTCCCCACCAGGTCCTTCCTCCTCCCGAGGAGTCCCGCTTCCAGCTGCCGGCGCCGCCGCCGCCATCCCGGCCCTCAGTGTACTGCGCGCGGCCGCCGACTGTGCGCGCGCAGGCGGCGCAGGCCCCTTTCCCGCGCCAGCTGGAAGCCACGCCCTTTGGGCGCGTGGCTCCGCCCCCACATGGCGGGGCGCTCTCGGAAAGCCCAGCAGGCGGGTCGGCGCACTGTGTCTTGCGCAGCGCCTAGCCACCGATGGGCTCTAGTTGACTCGGTGGTGGTTCTTGGCGCCTCTCCGGCCTATTTGAGACCAGGCACCACTTCTTAATCAGCGCGTGTGGTCGCTGTGCCGGGCTGGTGATGGGAGGAGCGCCCAGGTCTGGAAAAACCTAGACCCTGCCGGCGAGAGAGTCTCAGTCAATGCAGAGTGTTAACCTAAGGCTGAGAAGGGCACGTGTCCCAGGGAGGCCTGGACATTCTTGCGAGGGCCCAGCATCCAGGAAGAGGGTGCCCAGGAGGGTGCGAAATCTGGACCAGCTTCTAGGAGAACCAGTTCTAGATGCACTTGAAGGAGGGGTACGATTTTTGGTAGGCAGAGATGGAAGAAGTTCAGTCTAGGCAGAAAAAACCACAAGAAAAACGCGTGGAGCCTGAAAGGTTGATGCAATGGCAATCACAAGGCGTCCACTTTTGTTCAGACACGGGTTGCTTCAGAGCATTGGTTCTCAAACTTTGCCCTCAGAATCCCTTTACAGTCTTAAAAATTATTGAGGATGATGACCCCAAAGAGCTTTTGTTTCTGCAGGGTATATCAATATTTATTGTATTAGACTTAAAACAAAGTTTGAAAATGTCTATTTAAAATAACTAATACAGTATACGTTAACATAACATTTTTATAACAAGTAACTTTTTAAATTAAGACATTTAGTGAAAAAAGTCTAATGTCTGGCTTAATAGACGGGAGCTGGATTCTTTAGCTGCGTCTGTGTGTTTACGTTATCACTTCGCACAGCTCTGAAAAACACTTGAGAGAATAGGAATGAAAAAGGGAAATAACCCATCAGTATTAGAAAGAAAATAGTTTTGACCTCACAGACCCCTAAAAAGGGTCTCCAGGAAATCCCTATCCCCACTCCCATAGGTCCCCACACCAGACTTTGAGATCTGCTGACAGAGAGGAACAGTTACTTTTGCAATAACAGGTTTAATATAAGTCAACTGTTATAATAATGTTTCACATTTTTTGAGCATTTACTATGTGCATGGTTCAAAGTGCTTTACATTTATGTAAGTCACATTAACTTATGTAATTTTCATAATACCTTATTGACATAAGTAATATTTTAACCTTGTTTTACAATTCAGGAAATGGATGCACAGATTTATTGTGGTCAAAGCCAAGATGACTTGAATTAGATGACATCTGAAATCACTCTCAATTCCAAAATTATGTAGTAAACTGACTGGTGTAGACAGAGAGGTATGATACCTTTTCTCACCCACTATAACAGTCACAGCCGACATTCCTATAATAAAAGACAGGTTAGCAAGAGAAAAGCATAACAACTTTTTTTAATCAAAACTTTACATGACTTGAGAGCCTTCAAAAATGAAGACCCAAAGACTCATGGTTTCTATAACCTGCTTTGGGGAAGAGGAATTGTGGTTTCTGAAAGGTGGTCTTACTAATAACCCATCTAACAGAGGAAATAAACTATCAAACAGAAAATAAGAGAAATAAGCTCACAACACAACTACCCTTTGTTTAATTAAAACATGTGTGGCCTAACTTTGCTATCTCTGAGTTCTTTCTCAGCCTTGAAAAAGTTCCTGAGGGGATGATAGGACTGTGAACTTCCCCGACTTCCTCAAGAAGAGACAGTACCAGATACCTCCTGCTATCAAGAAGAAAGAAGAAACTAATTTCTGCTAATCAGTCTGCTAGGTGAGAAACAGAAAAAGCCAACACAGCAGCTTCACAGCTGCTTTTCTTATAAGTCCCCTGAAGCAGAGGGAAAAAGCACCATTTCTAGCCTTTAAAAGCACCAAGCAACTTTCCTCTTAGCCCAACATTGCTTTTCTCCCTCCGTGTGTTGCAGCCACTCTCTCTTTCCTTTTCTGTCTCTCTCTATCTCTGTTTCTTTCTTTCTTTCTTTCTCAGGAAAATAAATAAACTTTTATTTCTATGTATCCTATTCATTGAGAATTCTTTCTCCCCCCGAGTATGGACTTCACACCCTAACAGTTTCTATGAGTTGTTCCAAGGAGCAGCAGGAGACAGGAGGACAGGAGAAGATCAGAAAGATCTTGATTCTGAGGCCTTTCCAGTTTTCTTCAGTTCAAAGTACTCAGCATGCCAAGATGCCAAACTTTGGGGTATCATGTTCTGAGCCCCAACACTGAATTAGCAGAGAGAGGCTCCACTATAGCAGAATAACAGTCTTAGCCTGGAGTTAAAATCTTCAGAAGTGGGTACAAGTCACTGAAAATTTAACCAGAGCCTCTGTTAGGGTCTCAGTCCTGAGTCCTCTTCAGACTACATTTGTGAACACTTGCATGAGGAAAGCTCCACATAAAACTCATAAAAACATGGCCAAATTCTTGTGTCATATTGCACTAGAACACTTCAGAGGAGCAACATTCCAGCAATCTCAAAGTAGTTAAGCCCAAAGTTGGCCTAAATTCTGAATTAACACAAAAAGAATTGACCACAGTGGGAGCCGGAAGACTGAGTCAAGTTGGCTTTTGGAGGATTCTCTCCTCAATCCCCTTTTCTTCCCAATTTTCTCTCAGTTATTCATATTTTCCCTGCCTTTCCTCCTTTTCCCCTCCCTTTTCTTCCTCCAGTGCCTCTTTTTCTCCTCATCACTTGAATGTTTTACCACTTGGCCCAGCCCCATCCTCCTCTTCCTGGTTTTACCATGACTAACCAAGAGTTTATTTAGACCAGACTGGACTTCCTGACTATGAGCTTCAGTTGAAAGGCACTAAGAGGTGTTAGAAAGGGAATCATGTTTTATTGTCTTCAAATTTCAGTGACAAAAAGGCAGAGGAAATAGGGTGACAAAGGCCAAAAAAATCCACACACAAAAGTGGAAACAACCCAAATGTTCATCAACTAATGAATGAACAAACAAAATGTGATCTATCCATACAATGAAAGATTATTTTTCCATAGAAAGGAATGAAGTACTGATGTGCTGCATCATGGATGAACCTTGACAACATAGTAAGTCAGTGAAAGGAACCAGACAAAAAGGCCACATATTATACGATTCCATTTATGTGAAATGTCCAGATTAGGCAAATCCATAGAGACAGAAAGAAGATTAGTGGTTGCTAGGGCCTGGGGAGAGGGAAGAGTGGTAAGTAAGTGCTAATAGATACAGGATTTCTTTTGGGGGGATGAAAATATTCTAGAAATTAGATAGTGGTGATGGTTGCATAACTTTGTAAAATTATTAAAAACCACTGAATTGTATACTTTAAAGGGGTACATGAATTACATATCAATTTTTTAAATGGAGGGAAAAGCCCAAAGGAACTGAAACCTACTAGCAGCCATGTGAATGAACCGTCTAAGAAGTGTATCCTCCAACCCTAATCAAACCTGCAGATGGCTGCATCCTGGCTAACATCTTTACTGCAATCTCATGAAGGATCCTGGGCCAGAACCACCTCCCTGATCTACTTCCAAATTCTTGACCCACAGAAACTGTGAGATAATAAATGTTTATTGTTTTAAGCTGCTAAGTTTTGGGGTAGTTTGTTATGCAGCAATAGATAACTAAAACGTCTAATTCGAAATAGCAGTCAGTCATTCTTAAAGAATTTGATGAAAACCCACTCTCTCTCAGGCACTGTACCAGCCATTGGGATTCATCAGTAAGTAAAAGTAGCTACAATCCCTACCCTTATATAGCTTAAAATATAAGATATATGACAGACGTTAACTAAATAGATATACAAATATGTCATTACAAACTATTACAGGTAACAAAAGAAAACTACAGGTCGTCATAAGAACATAGAATAAGAAAACCTCACATCCTAATTTGTATTCTTTATTCTAGAAGGTATTACTCAAAGCCTCTCCATTTTCTAGTTCACCTGTCTTCCACCCATCACTCCCAGATAGGGTCAGGGAGAATGCATTGCACAGATAACACAGCTGCACTGTCACCGCACTGCTGCATCCAGAAGAGTCCATTCCGCAGTATCTGCAGTACATGTCTGTGTATGGGGGAACTACCACCCAGCAGCTGACCAGTACACAGAGGAACTACAGGCAGCTCACAGCATCAGTCAGTTATCCTCTGGCACACCCAGACTTACACTGATCAGCGCCAAGCAGTGGAGAAAGCAGATGCCCTCTTCTACATAAACGTTAGATCTCCCCAATATTGGAAAGTGGCTGAGTCACAGATGTCAATAATCCCTGGCGTTCTCTCTCTGATGACATCATCTGTGTGGATTCACCCTGTCTTTCACCCTTCCCAGATAAACTAGCCAAGATCTAGTTCTCTATGCCATCCACTTGCTTACAACAACCAAGACACAGAACTGAGATAAACAGCGGAAGAAGTGGTGGAAGGAATGTGGCCTTCCACTAGCACCGTGAATCACTCCAAAACTTGATTGTAATGGAAAGGAACAGTTTTGAAAAGCAGTCATGGGATCTTGTCTCCAACCTCAAGGAAACCCCAGAATACATCTGAACTTACACCTGAAAGGAAGCCTCAGAACAAACCCTTTTGGGGAAAGAGGTCTCCCATTCATCCAGACAGCCCATCTACCAGCTCGCACACACCTGTAGGCAAGTTTCTGGGGACCTTCACCACTAACACACCGGCGCGCGCACACATACATACACACACACATGCACATACAATGTACCGCAGATACTGTGGAATGGACTCTTCCGGATGCAGCAGTGCGGTGACAGTGCAGTTGTGTCACTGTGCAACGGCCTACCTGTTCAACGCATTCTCCCTGACCCTATCTGTGACACGCATAAGTTTCATCTCATCTCCACAAACCTAAATTTCTAGTTTTCTATGCCTACCTCAATATCCACTTTTACTCTATTTGGTTTTGC